GGCCGGTGGGGTTTAAGTGAAGGCAGGCAGGGCGGCCGCGAACGGGTAAAGAAGGAACACCTTAGGGCAGTGTTTCCCAAACTTGACAATTTTAAGGCATGTGGACTTCAACTCCCAGAATTCCACAGCCAGCGTTGCTGGCTGTGGAATTCTGGGAGTTGAAGTCCTCATGCCTTAAAATTGTCAAGTTTGGGAAACACTGCCTTAGGGGCATCTTGAGAAAGGGGTGAAATTGAGCGAAAGATTGATGGGCCTTATTTGGGAGGGGAGCAAGTAGGGAAAGAATAGGGCATTCTTCTCTCCACTTCCTGTGAGGTTTGTTCTCGTTGCTTCCCCGAATCGAAATCGTTCCAGTGGCACTTCGGAGGGACTCCGTGCGCTTCTTCCAAGAGAATCTCTGTTCACAGTTAACAGCTTTGTCGACGACATCCGCAAGTTCCCCCCGCGGCCAAGTCTGGGGGATCCGGGAGAATCTTATCCTCCTCCACTTCCTTGCCGCGAAGAGAGTGCGGAAAAGGGAAAGCTTTTATTTTTCTGTAATGTTGTGGGTTGCGCAATCAAGAAAACCTACCCTCCATCTCGCCCCCCCCCCCGAGCGCGCAGTTATATAGATCTTTCTTCACACACACACACACACACACACACACACACACACACACACAGAGAGAGAGAGAGAGAGAGAGAGAGAGAGAGAGAGATGTTTTGCATAGTGAAATGTTAACAGCCACATTAGAAAGACGCGCCAGAATGGGACTTGTATTCACTTCGACTCCAGCCTCCTGTCCTGAAAAAATAATTTTAATGTAGGTTTTTCTGAACCAAAACTGATGCCCTAGTACACTAGTCATCAAGAAGATTTGCACCCGACCCACAGTTTTCATATAAACAAGGGCAGAACACGGACAGCCCCCCCACACACACGTCCTTTGCCCTGCATTGGTGGCCAAGAGTTTAACTACCCGCCTTAGCAATTTGGCTGCGGAATCTTTTAGATCCCGCGCTCCGAAGTCGAAGGAGAAATGCCCAAGTGGTCTGCGAGAAAACTTTTCTTCTGTCCTCTACGGTTTGCTGGGTGTGTGTGTGTGTGTGTGTCAAAGTCTCAGTGAAGTGAACGGGACCCTTCCGATTATAAATCCACTCCTAACGTCCCAAAGTTCATTCAGCCTAAGAACACAATTTATGACAGGCGGGGAGGGGAGGGGAGGGAAGGGGTGGAAGTCTTCTTGTTGCCCTTGTCAACCACAATCAAGACCGAGAAACTTTCCGTGGTCTGCTCCGATTCATCTCGACGAGTTCGAGAGCCAGCTCCCAATCTAACCCTGCCCGAGCAAAGAGAACAAACAAACTCTGGAGCGGGGAGGACAAAGTTTCTCTCTCTCTCTCTCTCTGTCTCTCTCTTACTACTTCGGCTTTTTTTTGATTTTTGTCTCTCTTTTAAACTCCTGGCTGTTTGCTCAAATCGGAGCGCCCAGCCGGCGCAATCCGTTAGGCGGCGTGCCGTCCTGGGCAGAAGGGAATCGGAACGGCTTCTTTCGACTTCACGGATTTATTCCCGGTAGAAGTCGCTCAAAGGCCCGCGATCCGTCGAAGGCAGCTGAGACGCTGGGATTACTCCGGAGGAAGCAGACTAAAGATGGGATTGTCGGCGACCCCTTCGGATTTTCGACTAAGTGCCGCGTAGTTCAGGATCCAAATCACGTGCACTCGGGAAGTCAACCCGATTTAGCTCCGTTGAGATTTTTTTTTTTTTAAAAAAAACAACCTCAAAAAAAGAAAAGCGAGGAGAAGTCGCTGAGAGCTCCTAAAGGTTTATTTCAACTAACGGAAGCTTAACCAGCCTCACTTTCATATTAGGTCGAATGAAGAGGCCAAAAATAATCCGAATCTCAATCTGTCACAGGGGTAATTAATTTCCAGGGACAAAGACAGAAGGAAAACATCGCCTGTGTCCCTCTTTCTCCTTTTCCTTTTCCTATGCTATGAAAAAATGTCATTTTCCGAGGTTTAAGGGTTTTGAAGTGGTTAGATCCGACATTCCAGAGCATTTAGACTACGAACAACAAAGGGAAACAATTTTAAATAAAGTATTCTTTAATCTTACAAAAGCTTTAGTTTCCTAATACTTGTGTATTTAATTTACAAACAATAAGCTTCCACCCTTCGTTTTTAAAAACAATTCCAGTTACTCCAACAATGCACTTAAAACAAGAATGGGTGGCAATATTAACAAGCGGGGACCGATTTATCACATTTTCATCTTCTTTCGCAATATTTCAGGACTCCCTTTCGACCTCCACCTACCCAGCAGCGCGCATCCGGTTCGCACGCAAATAACATTTCTTTCGCAAGAATAATTAATAGCGTCCCATTTTAAGCAGCTCTTCGTGGATCATTAATCCGAGGCTGACTTGCAAAGCGGGAACCGGGTCCTCGGTTCGAATTCTGGCTCGCAGGAAATCCTTCAGTTCCTCAAACAATACCTGGCGTGTAAACGCGCTATTCAGAACAAAATCTCAAGCCTTTTAGCGCAATATGCCTTGGAGATTCCCTTCTGTAAGGGGAGGGGATAGAGGGGGGGGGCAGAGGACGCTTTCACACGACGTCGGCGCGTTTCTTATTCAATGTATTTTTTTGCTAACAGTAGACCCGATTGAGCCATGGGCCTTTTCCTGCACTTTTATGACACTTCTTCTCTTTCACTTCCAAATCCGTTTTATTTTATTTAACTGTCCCCACCTGTGAAGCGCCTCGCCTGTGATACTGGGGACAAATTGACCGCCTCTCGCGCTTTATTTAGCTTGACTTCACTTGACCCAAAGAGCCAAGGTTTTATAGCATTTTAATGCGTCAATCCAGCCGCAGGGGCGAGGAAAAGACAGACCTGATACCTGTGTGACACTAGAATAGCCGGATAAATTCGGTACCGAAAAAATGGCCTCTACAAACGTTCAGCCCGGCTTTTAGCCAAGGAGCTGAGCTCGGGAGAACCGAACGGAACTTCTCGAGTGAGACCTTAGGTCTCTTTTAGCGGACCAGGTTTACCGCTCTGGCCTCTACTGTATTGATTTTTTTTTTTTTCCCAGCGGAAGAAACTTTCTTCTCTATTTGGGACGATGCACCTCTCTGCAAAATGCGTGTGTGTGTGTGTGTGTGGGGGAAACCTATTTCAATACCTGAAAATGCTGAATTAATTAAATTAATACAAAATGGGAATCAGAGGCAAAGGAAGAGAAAAGGGGACCTTTTCCCAGATTCCAAAGGAACTGCCAGAAGGTCGATAGGGAGGAGAAATTAATAAGAGACCCTGGCCTGCGACAAAAGAGAGATAAAGTAGAGGAGGAGGAGAGGACGAAATGTGAAACGAAATGTGAGACATTCAGGTTTGGGGAATGGGGAATTCAGGAGAATCGGGGAGGGGCAGATAACATTCGGAAGCATCAAATCGCCTCCCCCCCCCATGTCGGGGCGGATCAGGCCCAGCTTATGCCTTTTGTCTGTGGGTTGGGGAGGGGGCCCAAACGAACGCCTCCTAAATTATTTGGGAGAATAGCCAGAGCAGGCCTTACAGGGGAGACAAGAGGAAGCGAAGAACTGGGGGGGGGGGCTGTTGTGGTAGCGGGTGGTAGGGCTTCCTGGAGTGAAGGAAGGCTCGGGATCTCAGAGATCCTGGTCTCTGCCAGTCTAACCTTGACCTTAAAGAAGCTCTTACTGAACCTTTTTTGAACCTGGCTACTCAGAAGTCGATGGGTGGATTCTATTTCTGAGCAGTCAGAGGGGTACAGACCTTAAGCTGTCCCCTCTGGCTGAGCAACTTAGAAACGTTTGTCTTCCTTCCTCCCTTTTTCCAGCAAGGAGGCGGGAACTCTGAGCCTACCAAATTCCAACCATCGAGTCTGTGGAAAAATGAGTGCTGGGGGGAGGAGGGAGAGGGAAGTCTCCATTGGTGATGCGGCCAGGACTATATGCGGCTCCAGACGAAGCCTAACATACGGCGCTACTCTTGAGATGGGACGAGGCTCCCCCATTACATGGAAGACAAGGTCTAGCCCTGGAAATGTAAAGGTCCCAGCAGTCCCAATGAAAGGGATGCTTTGGAACCTCCGATATCAACACTAATTCGTACCAAAGAAAATGGCCGTTTGCTAAAATACCCTAATTACTTCGACTTAGTCTTAGCCAAACATACTGGGCTTAAAGATAACCACTGGGATCCAGATGCCTGGGAACACAGTCGTCGAGAGCCCCCGAGTTACTCCTAAGTCGCTGCAGCAAAGCCGGAACGAGCTCAGCGTGACTCTTTTGCTCACGATCGCGGAGGACTGTAAACTTCGGGCCAAAAGCGGTCCCGCGCGACAACCTAGGTTCAACCGAGGTTCAATATTTTGTGGGAATAACCGCCACGATGCGTGTGTGCGCGTGGGTGTGTGGACGCGCCTATATGCTAATAAAGGGCTAATGCAGGGCTCAGTCTTTGCTTCGCAAAGGAAGAGCGCTCCCCGGCTAGTTGGCCGTGGGGGGGGGGCAGCCTCTTCTCAGCCCCGCTCCCATCCTACCCCGCCCTTGCACGGTTCATTTTGGCCACTGCACAGTTGTGCTTTCCCACGTGGCGCCATCTATTCAAAGAAGCGGCTTTGCTCGCGGCCTCAAGACCGCCGCCTTCAACAGAGCTTGGCGGAGCCAGGTCGACTTCAAGCAGGATCCCCGAATAAGCAGCAGCGGAGGAAAAGAGCGAAGGCGCCGGCACCGCAGCGCAGCCTCCACCGGCTAAGCCTCAACTCAAATAGCCTCCTGGCCTCGCAGCTCCGTAACCTTTTCGCCTCCCCGGCTCTTTAACGGCTCATTAGCCAATAAGAATGGCTAATCGCTTCCCGCAGTCCTCCGCTCCCCGCCCTACGGGGGGAGACCCGGCTCACCATTGGCTGCTTTTGATCAACAAAAGGGGGGGCTAATTACCATGCGGCGGGCTGCTCTTATAGGCTCCGAAGGGTGCCAGTCAGGCGCGCCTGTTCTCCGCCCTCCTAAGCTCCAGCCTGGCCGGCAAAGGCGCCTCGGTGCGGCAGCCACTCGTCGGCTCGGAGCTGGGCGGCGAAGGTGCGAGCGATGCTGCGCGGCTGACCCGTGCCGGCCGGGCCCCCTCGCACCATGCTCCCGGGGTTACCGCCCGCGGGCTGCTGCCTATGGGCCAGCTGCGCCTGATCGGCGGCCGTCTCCCAGATGCTCCCGGCCCCCCTGCCTCGTCGCCGCTGCTCCCGCCGGGACGAAGGAGGTGGTGGCTGCTTCTCCTCTTCATCATGCTCGCCTTGTGGCTTTGCATGGTTTACTCTTGCGTCGCCGGATCGTGCGCCTCGGCCGCGCCGGGGCTGGTGCTGCTGGGCTCTTCGCCCTCTGCTCGGAAGGCGCCCGGTCCGGAACTCGGCCAGCTGCTGCTACCACCATCCCGGACGGCCAAGATCCAGTTGAGAGCGGATCCGGAGAACGACGAAGACGAAGACGACGAAGAGTTGGGGGGTGGCAGCAACAACAACAACGGAGTGGCCCCGGATTCCCCCAGCTTCCTTTCCAGTTTCTTGAATGGCTCTGGGACGAAGCGGCTACCCCAGGCAGTGATAATCGGCGTGAAGAAGGGTGGGACTCGGGCGTTGCTCGAGTTCCTGCGGGTCCACCCGGACGTGCGGGCGGTGGGCGCCGAGCCTCACTTTTTTGATCGCAACTACGAGCGAGGACTCACCTGGTACAGGTATGCCCGACTTGAGAGATAGGGCGTCCCATCCCACTTTCATTGAAATTAGCACCGTCGGTGTGTGGGGAGGGTGAACCTTATCTAAAGACGGGGATGTCTTGCCGTTTTCGGCCCGATCGGCTTCCCCCTTGCTCCCGGACGTAGAATCGAGTTGGAACTGCGGCGTGGAGCCAATGCGCGGCGTGGTGGCCTGCGTGTCTATTAACTTTCTGCCTTAATAGCATAGAGCAGTCTGTTCTTTTTCCTTTGAAAAGCCCAAGTTAAGAAAGCGCCTTCTCCTTTCCTTTCCCCGCGCTCCTCCCAGATAATTGCTACTAGCTTGGTCGCGAGAGTGCTTTAGTGGCCGGGGGCTACTCTTCCAAAAAGGACCTTCCCTTCGCCCGTTAATTGCTCCATCCCTGCGCCTTCCTCTTAAATTAGCCCCTGAAAGGCCCCGTTACCCCGTGGAGTCTCGAATGAAAGTCTATGAACGCCGGCTCTTTTGCAATCTACTCTCCCTATTTTAACTCCGCTTTCCTGAAAGAGAAAGAGAAAGAGAGATTGTTTTAAACGCATCTAGGAGGAGAAGAAAATATTTGGAAGAGGTTGGTATCAGTTGGCAGGGAGGGGAGAAAATCAACTGCTTTCTCCTCTGAGCAGAAGTATTCTTTAGCTGCGAAAGAAAGAAGGAAAGAAAAGAAAAGAAAAAGAAAAAGGAAAGGAAAGAAAGACTCTAACGGAATCCCGAAATCGCCGTTTGGGGTCCGTTTCTTAAACGAAGCGTCGCCAAAGGATTTGCCCGTTTGTGGTGCTGGGTAGCAATTAAGGGTCCCTCCTGTAACGCTCGAGGTGGGAACTCGCAGGGCTTCTTTGCCCACCCGCACTGCCCAGGACCATTCCTCAAGACGCGTCGCGGGAGCGGGATGATGGTGGTGGTGGTGGTGGTGGTGTCGGGGGGGGGCAGAAAATCCTCTCTCCCTTTTGCACATCGCGGACCAATGGAGAGGTGGCAGATCAAAGCGGCGCTTCTCCCGCTTTTCTCCACCTCTAACGGCGAGGGCTGCCTCCCGGCGTTCACCTCTAGCTCCTTCAGGGGTGGAGGAGGCAAACGCCTCCGGTGCGCAGTAAACTCTGCTGGGCGGAAGGAAGCACTGCAAGCTCTGGGGCTGCGCTTCGGCTTCCGCGCTCTTAGCTGGGGAATTCAGCGGTCCTCCGTTATCCAGGCCTGAAGAAAGCTTAAGGCACCTTCAGGCCCTCTCCAAACCTAACTTCGAAGGAACCGCCCCGCCCCGGCGTCCGCTCGAGGGTTTGCCGACAGAGACGCGTTTTAAAATCGGGAACTTCTCTGGGGGGTGGGGCAGGAATGCCGTTAAATCGGGAATGGGGGAAATGTCCCTTCTCTTTACTCCTCTGAATGTGACTTAAGGCAACAGAACGAGAAATCGGTGTGGCGGACACGAGGTCGGGATCAGTTTCCAACCTACAAATCTCTGGCTCCAGCTGGTCTGCTTCCTGGCCCTTTTAAATCTTTGCTCCCTCGGTCCTTTCTCTTGCTGGTTGGTTTACAGGTTGATCTGTGGCACTTTCTCCTTGCCTTTTCACCTCTTTTTCAACTTTGTTTCCAAACCAAAGCCAACTTTATGAGAACGGAAGTTAGCATCCAAGCTGCACATGAACAGACACTTCTTCAGTTGTATGTGATCCTGTTCCTTTGAGGGGAAAGGAGCTCGACCACCATTCAAGTTGAAAATAGAGATGTGTGATTTATATAGGATAGCTGATGGGAGAGAAGGAGATAGAAAGTTGGAAGCACTAACTAAAGTGTACTTGGCAGTTTTGCTGGAAAAAGTTAAGCAAAACTTGTCTCTCATCTTCTGAGGCAAATAAGCTTTTTGAGCGTGGAGGCATAGGGGATGTGAACTGCAGTGCATAAAAAATCCATAGGCGTAAGACTATGGAGTATGTACAACAGGTTGCAGGAATATATAAAAGAAAGTAAATCACATTCTCTAAAATGTATGGTGGCTGTGATTTAAATAAAGTTTAATGCTTCAATTAAAAGTGGTTTAATTTTGTATTCCTTGACCTGTCCCTAAGATCTAATTTGTATTCCTCCTTATTTACACTCCCCCCCCCTTTGCACTTCTTTCAGAAAAAGTATGGAGAGAAAAATCAAGGGAGAATTTTCTACTCTGTTTCATATTATGTGAACATCACCAAACTGATGTTTTTTTAATCAACTTTTGGTTTGTATGTTTAATTATTATTATTTTTTGATTAAAACATCTCAAAGGAAATAGGAGCTTGGCTAAAAAAAAAATCTAGGAGCACTCACTGCTTTGAAAAGTTATGACAAATGGCACTAACTAATTGTTGCAGTAGACTTTCTTTATTGGAGGGTTTGTTTTTCAGTGTTTTACAGAGTCTGCTATCAAGAACATTTAAAAAGGGACAAAACTAAATCCTAAAAAAGAATGAAATTAAATTAAAAACCGAATCGCCAAATGTTCTCTTTGTTTTCTGAGGATTTGTGATGGATTTATGGCTTACTTGATAAAATTGCTCAGACATTTTGGGGGGGGGTCAATTTCCCCCCCATAGATTTGTTCTGCTGCCGACTTTCCTGGCTCTGCCCTTTTGTCACATAGTACTTGGTGATTGTGTGAGTTTGTGTGGATGTCCTTAGTGGAATCCAGGAGGCAGAGATCCCTGGCTTTCCCCAGATGGAAGAGACAAGTAAAGGAAGACAGTTTTTAAAAGATCCTCCTCAGCCTGCCCCTGATGAGCAGAGCTGTCAGGAAGACAAGAAATGTTAGTTATTACTGCAAGATGAACTAAGAAAAGTTTCCAAGTAATTTAGGAGTTTGGGGATGTGGATGAAAAAAATGTGCCTTTACAGCTTTTCTCAGCACATTAACCCTAGATTTTCTAACTGTTGGGGATAAAATGAAACCTGAGCATTGCTTCCATTCTAATATGGCCTTGTAATCAGAAGCTTAGGTTTGGATAGATTGTGTTGCTCAGGTTATGTCATGAGAGAAGTGTCGAATGCCCAACCTGTAGCTGGGAAATACGGCCCGAGTTTGTTTTGCATATGGCTCAGGGTTTGCCTGCCAATAACAGGAAATTCATAGCAATGATTAAGACCCCCTTGAACTCAGGTTTCAAAGGTTTTCTAAAAACGTGCATTGTTCATTTTTATGTAACTCTTAACGTAATCTATGAAATTGCAGCCAGATGAAAAACTACATTGGGAGGCATAACGGTTTTACTTAGAAAGGTGCCTTGGTGCCTTGTTGTATACTTTGGTTAAGAAAAAGATATGAACTGTGTTGATTAAGGAGATCTGATGGCAGACTAATTGTTGCAGAACTTGAAAAGATGGGAGTTGTTATTCAGTATGGTGGACAAATAAAGCAAAATGGAATTAACCAAAAAAAGCTACTGTACTAGGTTGGTAGTTTTACCATTGGCATTATAATACATGCGTATACAGTATATCTCACTTCCTCTCCCCTGCCAATATGTTGCTCATTATGCATTTCTATTCTCAGTCCAAGAGAATAGTGTTGCCATTTTCATATGAAAAATTGATGTTCTTTTTTAAACTACTTTTTCTTGTTGCTACCTTGTTCAAGCAGAGCATTCCATATTTTGAAAGCAGTAAGAGGTCTTAATATGCTTTATCCAAACTTAATTTTTATTAAATTATTGTTTGCTTGAAGAAAGTTATCCTAAACTTGTAACATGCTGAAATATATTGTAGGCGTTTATTTAATTGACCAGGAATATAACAATTTCCTAATCAAGTACCAGTGAACAAACACTTCCTTACCTTATGTTATGCTTCTCCAAACAAGGTTAAGGTGAAATAATAAGTTTCTGGATGTGTAAGATCAGTTTCTTGAGTTAAGTAAGCCCATGAAAACTATTTAAAAATACAACAAACTGATTAAGGTATTCCGAAGAAGGAAGTAAAAATAATAAAATAATAATGGGAAAAATAAGTGGTCATAAACTGACAAAAAAGCTGCCTGCATAAAGACAAACTGCAAACAAGAATATTTTAATCCAGTATTTATCCACTTATCTGGCAATTTATGAGCAGCACAACTACATTCCTTTAGTTTTAATATAATTGGCTTTTTGAAGACTTTAAATACACATGAAGTTGACTCCTGTTTGGAACTGTAGCACCAACATAACAACTGAAAACTGAAGCATTTCATTTCAATTATGTACAATATTTGTTCATAGATAATTTTTATGAGCTCTTCAATTCCAGGGTTAAGATATTTTTTAATCAGTTAAACTTACTGTTCTACACAGACTTTGTTTAGAGTAGCCTTCAGTTGAGGTCAGTAGAACAAACATCTGATTAGATATGTGTGTGAATGTGAAATTAGGCTATGATTTAGAAATGGAAGCTTTGGGATGAAATAGATACAGAGCGATCCAGAAGGGATAATGTTAATTGTCAGTTTAATGATTTTGGCTATAAAACACTTAATTTAAATGTTGAGATAAATTCTGTGTGTACTCTTATATAAGGAGCAGAGCTGATAGCATTTAAAGGGCAATCAATAGTTTAATTTACTGGTGTCAGTAATGCTTTCATAAAGTTTCCTTCCCCTTCAACAATCAAAGAATTGAAATAATCTTACAATGAAAACCCCATGCGTGTCTATTTTAAAAAGTCTACCAGCATGGTGTGGGATTTCTAAGTGAATGTGAAGGTTTGCAGCCTTAAAATGCCATATTAAGGATGATTTTTTTTCTGTTTTCCTCTGCCCTGCCAATTCCACTTCAGAGTTGGCTATATTTCATGCAATAGCAAGTTAATCATGGTAGAACCCTTGAAGTTATTAGTAACCATTGATTTATTTGGTGACTCTAAATGACTGATTTTTACTAGAGTAAGAGCAAACACTTTGTCTTTTATGTCTCTTAATGAATTACGTTTTAGCATTTAGACATGATTGTTCAAATGTAATATTAAGACATTGTTTAATCATGGT